AAGTGCCGTCAGACGAAGGGACTACACATGTTCCCAAGCATGCAGCTCAGCCGCCACCGGGGGCCCCAGGCCACCCGGAGACCCATGAGACGGACACGGGAACGGAGGACTTTTGTACAACGTTCCCATACGATAATGATCCCCAGTTTCTAGAGTCGATGGATGACGAGACTTTTCCGTTTGGACCAGCATCTGCGAATATGTTTCGCAGATCGAGTCTTCCACCTGCTCCAGATAAAAGACAGGGTCAGCCGATATACAGGGACCCTACCGATGGGGATCGAGACGTCACAGTGGGGCACGCTGCTGTTTTCAAAGAAAAACGATTGTATGTGACGACAGAAGAACGCCAACGCATACTTCGGGTTACGCCTGGACCTCCTAAAGCAGATGCTCCAGGACGCCCGCGTTACGGGCCCCGTGCCACCACGCGTCGAAGCCATCCGCAGTCGAACAGGAATTACGCTTCGATATATGGCAGAGTTCGTGGAAGACCCAATCTTTGCAATATTGGGGGGCCTGGGCGATGAATCTTTCGCACACGCAAAGAACTACATTAGAGCCGAGTGTCATTCCGATGACGTTCCAGACGGGTTTACTCCTGGAGCCTACGCGCGCCTGCAGCCACTTATAGTTGGAGAAGATAATGATGAGAACCCGGCTGCCTTAGGCAACTCGGACACCTGGAGTGGTCTGAGCTACAGATCGGATGATCTCGCCAAAAAGATAGGCCAGCGTGCTGTATACATCGCGAGGCATTGCTCCGACTATGCTAATTCGTCAGGGGGCTGGGTCTACCTTGGAGACCTGGTGCAGAAACTAAAGATGATGGTTTTACTTTCCAATCGTACGCCTTGGCCGCACACAGCTTAGCTGCGTTGCCGCCAGGGACGGTCGAAGTTTTGAGAATCTTTCCCAATGATGGTTCCAAGATTGCTGGAACACAAATCAACGCCATGTGGGAGCGACACAAGAGGGGCTCATTGCAATAGGAAGACGGAAGGGAGATGCCGATACCCATATTCTATAGGGCATGCCAGGGACATTCAACGTTCGCTGCTTCAACCGAAAGGATGTATGTCCCGTACGACCCTGGCCAAGTCAGGAGTCACGGCTCTCTTCTTCATATTGCAGACTTACAGAAATTGCTGGACTCTACGAGTGGAAATGTTCGCTTCCCAAAGAGCGACTCTGGGCTTTGCTATGCCGCAGATTACGAATTGTTGCGTTTGCTTCCAGCACGCAATAGCCCAACTATGCCGAATCCTCCAGATTTCCTCCGCGGCTAAGCCAACGGAGATATGGACAGCCATGAACAACCCTGCTCAGGGAGGGGAGCCGCCATCGGTGGGGACTTGGCCCGCAGACGACACCCACCACCTATGGCCGCATCTCCCCAATCTCAATCACCATGAGCAATGGGATATCATTTTTTGTTTTTACCGGCAGAGTGCTCACCCGCTTCTCGCACAGAGTTTGCCCAGATGGGACCTTGGTGTCTCGAGAAGTGCCGAAATTCACTGACGTTGACAAAGCCGTCTCCCTTGTGAGACAGGCAAGGCAGATCAGATGCGCTGGGCGGTACTCTTCGATCGCAAATTGTCTTCATACGAGGTCACCTTCGACAGTGAGTCGGTTATTGCCTGGGTTCATACAGACGAGAGAATAGTCATTGATTGGACTCGCAGGCCAATATTGGAGACCGCGATCCAAGATCTAATTATATCCATCCCGTGGGATGGTGATGGGAGATTCCTTTGTTGCCGATACCACTGGGCGAGGACAGGTTTCGCCAACTGTCCTGTCTGTAATTGTCCAGTCAAATACAAATACAGGGTCACGCACGATTACATGATCCAGACATGGAAGCGCAAAATTATCCCACAGTCCCTTGAGGCACACGGCCTCTTCATAGCAGTGGACCATGAAGAAACTCCATCATGGAATCGTCATGCATATATACCAGCGCGGATAAAGAGGCAAGGGGGAGCTTCTGCCAATGTTACGAAAAACGTCAACAACAACAATCAGCAGGAGCGAAGATGGGCCTCCGGGCAATTTGCTACAATGGCGGCCGCTGGCACGATATTTGGCAATAGCCAGCCTGGAAATTTTCCAGCTTGGATCCCAGCACGCGCCGAGGCTCAGCCTCCGGCGCGACATGCTCCTTTCTTCCAATATTTGAAGCCGTTGGTCAAGAGGTTTATATCGCGGCTTGAATACTCGGCCAGAAACGCAAGTAGGCAAACCCCGCCCATTAATACCTGGTGGCCGTGATTGTGGGGAACTAAGTTTGACCAATACGCTCGCCCGAGATCCTGCCCAGCCTTGCAGGCGTTTCACTGGCCTGATGAAGAGGATGACTTAGTCACTCCTCGAATCGGCTGGGAAAGATGGTTCGCCAACACGACTAGAGCCAGCATCTTCGTTCCGACATTTGCTACAGTAGATGACGCGGTAGAGTTTGGAAGACCTTGGTTCGGCGTATTGAATGAGGATAATGGAAACAACGCCGACAACGACAACCCTCCTGCGAAATTACCGGTCGCCTGGGAGAACAATTTTAGAGCGAGGCCGACTCGCAGTTCTCAGTCTGTTTCAAGACGGATTAGCATGTGTCGGGACCATCGTCTTATTACCCCCGTGTTGCGACATGCCACCGGCGCAGCCGCGATGGCACGCGAACAGTCGCAAATCGATCTGGATCTCAAAGCGATCAGCGGGCCTAAGGCCGCGTTGATAATTGACGGATTCTTCGCTCTTGACCATTCTGAGGGACACGTATACTTTCACCATGACGACCCTTTTGATAAAAATAAGATTGTTCGGGAGAGAAGTTCGAGAAATTGCTGCCCATTTTTAGAATAGAACACACGGGAATAAATCCCACTAGCCCCGGCAGGGTTACCCTGGCCGGAACGGCAGAATACGCGATCCCGGAGATCATCCAGACCATAGTAGATGACAGTTGGTTAGTACCAGTACAACAAATGCAACTGGGCCTTCGGCCCATAAGGATTTTCGCAATTGTTCGTGAGATCATCAGCTATTTCATCTCGGAAGATCACTTTATTGGTTACCCGGGGCGAATCATTCGCCCCGAAATGGTGAGCACGGATGAAATTGATTCAAATAAACGGACCGACGAGTATGCTTTGGATTGCCGCATTTGCGCGGCTGTTAAAACGGACGATATCATAGAGAGGTGGGCCCACAAGATGGGCAGGATAGTGCAGAGCGACGTCCGTTGCCACGGTGCTCCAATACAGGACGCCACTTTTTGGCTACAGGATAAGTATCCTGGCCCTGGCGCTGGACTCCAGGACAAAGATTATGGACCCTTCCGCGCTGCATGCGGAATTTATGGTGTCGCTGCAGCAACTGCTGCCAGAAGTATAATACAAGTTATGAGCAATCGTAGGAATCACGGTCCTGATCGCGACGGCGAAGCCGAAATCGCGGGGCCACATGCGCCGGCTGGACCAAAGGCCAGACCTTCATCGCGCCCGCCGCCTCTTTGACCTGGCCTCTCAGACGCTCAGGTATCCGAAGAAGCTACCGGGCCCCCCCGTTCAGTCGCCGGCTCAGCCGTGACGACCAGAGAGACAAACCCACAACATCCCAACATGGGGGATCGGTCGGAATCACGACGCGCGCGCGATGCTGCCATGGATGCCGCCGCTAGCGCTGACGTGGATGCTGTTGCCGGCGCTGCCATGGACGCTGCCGCAGGTGCAGCCGCGGATGCTGCCAGCAGCGATGCAGGCAACAGCTACGAGTACGACCCTTCCAGGTCCTACCCGCGCTACGTGAACGGAACCCTCGTCGGGTACTACATCCACCGTAACAGGGTCACGTGGCTTACCGACGCTGAGTGGTACACTCTGAATTACTGGCAACAGCTATCAAAATGGGAGCACGACTTCCACTTCCCGCCGAGGGAGACGGCACCGACGAGCGACATTGAAAGAGAAAGGGGGCGGTCTCGCACACCTCGTGGCGTAGACGTACAGACGGGAGGATCGGCGCCGTCAAACCCGCCGCCTCCGGCGCCTCCCAGACGAGAGAACGAGCACAACCCGTGGAAGGACCTGAACTGAGTTTCGCCCGCGTGACTCAGTCGCGGCAGGCGCATGCAAAACAATTTACCCATGCGCGGAACGCACGTTGGGCGCGGACGCCTCTACTGGTCGGCTAAGCCGGTTCAGCGGAGAGAATTTATTTGTCACAATGGTGGGAAGCGTCGAGCCTCTTCGGCCCTTGGCCCCCTGGCAGCCACCGTTGAGCTGTAAAAGCTTTTTCGGGTTGGCCCCGGTGGTTGTGCAAATGTACAGGCCGGGGGTGCCGTGGCTGGATGGGCTCTGCGCGGCCCGCCGCGGGGGGAGTAAATAAGCTCCTCTCCGCCTCATAATCAATTAAGCATCGCACTGTCCGCTGGAACTGACAGCTGCGTTCCGCAGCTGTATGACTGCTCGAGCAAGCCAACCTTGGCTTGCAGGAGAGAAAAGGAGCGCGCTGGGGCGCGCGGGCGGCTCGTCGTCGTCCGTCCCCGGCCGGCCTCCTCCCTTCACATTCCTGCAAGAGTAGTCTTGCTTAGCGGATACTTGTCTTATCAATGTCTCATCCCGTCCCCTCTCTCCCTGAGCAGAGTGAACATGAGATCTTAATTCCTTTGTCAGCTTACCCCGATTCTCAGAGGAAAGACTGAAGGCGTTGCCGCGCCGTGCCGCCCACGAGTCCTGCCGTGTGGCGCTTGGCGCTGAGGGATCTCCATGCCGGCGTACGGAGGGGGCCCATGCCAAGAAGCACTTTGCTTGCCTCCAGTGTGCCCTGGGTTTCGATGGTTCTGCGATGGAAGGCGTGACGGTCCCACACCGAGAACCGATGAACGTCTTGGGGTCTCGGGATTGGGTCTCTTGTGGAGGGCTTCTTGTGGTCGGGCCTCCACTGTGGTGTGCTGCAGTGTCTGGTTTTGCCTCCTCGCTTTCCCCCCCTCCCAGGCGGAAGTTGGCAAGGCTGGCGGCCGAGGGCGACTGGGCCAGGCGCGAGGTCCTGAGCCTGGTCGCAGAGGACGCGGCCAGCCGCCCCCCTTCCCCGCGCGCCGCCCGCGAGCGGCCCACCCTGCGGGGTGGCGAGCTCAGATTCCCGCTCCGCCTCCCCTCTCCAGTCCCCTGCCGACGATGACTAGCCGGCCGCTCTGCGGTTGATTGGGAGTTTCTGTATATATATATATATATATAGAGAGAGAGAGAGAGAGAAAAGAGGCGCGTGCGCCTGTGCTCGATGACGATGGTGAGAACGAGCGGGTGGCGTTGGTGCGGCGGGTGAGGATCGGGAGAGCGAGGATGAGGATAATGAAGATCAGGGAGGGTGAGGATAGGGCGGGCGGGGATCACTTGGGGGTCCCTGGGGGTACGCTGGGGGCCCGTGTGGCGATTCTGCAAGGATGTCTCGAGCGAGGGCGCCGGGTTGGGACACGCCCGGCGCGCTCGGTGCGCCTGGTGCAGCGCCGGAAATTGTTCCTGGAGGTGCGCTGGGGTCCCGCGTGGCGATTTTGTGAGGATGTCCTGGGGGTGTGCTGGGGGCCCGTGTGGCGATTTTGCAAGGATGTCTCGAGCGAGGGCGCCGGGTTGGGACACGCCCGGCGCGCCCGGTGCAGCGCCAGAAATGGTCCGTGGGGGTGCGCTGGGGGCCCGTGTGGCGATTTTGCGAGGATGTCTCGAGCGAGGGCGCCGGGTTGGGACACGCCCGGCGCGCTTGGTGCGCCCGGTGCAGCGCTGGAAATGGTCCCTGCAGGTGCGTTTGGAAGCGACTCTCCCGCGCGCCAGGGGTAAGCTGGCTTGATTTAGGGCGGATTTCAGTTGAGTCAGTTGAGTGTTTTTGTGTTTTGATGCCGACGACGATTGTAATGATGGTGGTTATCAAATCGTAGTGCTGATGGTGGTGGCGATGGTGATGGTGATGATGGTGGTGCTCATCACATCCAGAATCACCATCATCACCATCACCATCATCACCATCACAACCGCCCTCACCATACCATCATCACCATCATCATCATCATCATCATCATCATCATCATCATCATCATCATCATCATCATCACCATCACCATCACCATCACCATCACCATTACCATTACCATTACCATCACCATCACCATCACCATCACCATCACCATCCATACCATCAGCATCGCCATCCCTGTGGGGCCACGATCCTCGTGAGGGGTGTGCCGAATTGTGCGGGGGACGCATGTGGACACTGCCGCTGGGGCCTGCGGTGGAGCTCCCTTTGGGGCCACGATCCTCGTGAGGGGTGTGCCGAAGTGGCCGGGGGGGCGCATGCGGACCCTGCCGCTGGGGCCTTCGGTGGAGCTCCTTCTGGGGCCACGAAGCGCTGTCCAGGGTGGCGGTGACGCATGCGGACCCTGCCGCTGAGGCCTTCGGTGGAGCTCCCTGTGTGGCCACGAAGCGCTGTCCTGGATGGGTGAAACGCAGGGGGGTAACGAGGCGGATGGAAGGAAGGAGGAGGAGGAGGGGAGAGGAACGCGGGGCGCTGTCTCTTCAAAACGAGGACCCAACACCACAGGATGGCTGGGATACATACAGTGCTTCCTTGCATCCAAGACCAACACAGCCCAAACCAACATGAATACACAGCGTTTTCTTGAACCGAGGGTGAGGACGCCCTTGGCATTAAGGGTTCCTTTGTTCAGATTCCGTGCGAAGAATTCATTATTAAAGACCCTTTAGCGATGATTCCTTAATGCAGGTTCTCCAGTAAGGAATCATGAAAACAGATTCCTTAGCAAGGGCTCCTTTGTTGAGATTCGTTATTACGGATTCCTTAGCGACTCCCTATTACAGGTTTCTTCAATCGGACTCATTACTAATGCCCTTTAAGCAGAGATTGTTGTGTTAATGATTCTTTAGTTGAGATTCCTTAGTATTGATTTCTTATGAGGGAATCCTCTGTTAGGGCTCCTTAATTAAGATACGTTTTAAAAGATTCCGCATGAAGGATTCCGGATGACATATTCCTTCTTAAGGGATTAGTGGTAAGGATGCCTTGATAAGGATGCCTGAGTGGGATTCCTTGTTCAGGATTCCATAGCTTTGATTTCTCATGAAGGAGTCCGTAATAATGGGTCCCTTGTTTAGGACTTCTTCAATCATACTCCTTCTAAGGGTTCCTTGTTACATATATATATAAACATACATATATGTATACATATATGTATATGTATATATATGTATTGGTGCGAATTCCATACAACATATTCCTGACTGAGGATTCCTTAGGTAATATTCCTTTGTCAGGGTTCCTCATGACGGATTCTCTAGCAAAGATTCCTCATTCAGGATTCTTTTATTCAGATTCCTTCTTCGGGGTTCCTGGGTAAGGTTTCCTTAGTACGGATTCATTATTAAAAGGGCTCCTTAATAAGATTACCGTAGTAAGCATTTCTTAGTAAGGATTCCTTGGTAAATATTCCTGACGAGTAATTCCGTAATTCGGATTCCGTATGATGGATATTTCGACGTATTCTTATGACAGATTCCTTACATCGGATTTTTTTTTTCAGGATTCCTTATTCAGATTCTTGTTGAAGGTTTCTTTCGTTTGGGATTATTGATCAAGGATTCCTGAGTCAAGATTGTTTAGCACGGATTTCTCAGTTAAGAGGCCTCATGCAGGATTTACCAGTACATATTCCTTTCAACTGATTTTTTCGCACATTTTCCTTGGTAGTGTTTTCTTTTTTGCAAATATTCATTGGTTTGGCTTCCTTAGTTAGGATTCCTCATTAAGGATTCCTTGTGTAAATATTCCTTATTCAGGACCCCCTTTTCAGGATCCATTATTACGGATTCCTTATTAAGGATTCTGTGTTAAGGAATCCTTTTCCTCCTCTTCATCATTATCATCATCGTCACCTCCGTCACCATCATCGTCATCATCGTCGTCATCATCGTCGGGATGGCACTCGTCTTATCTAGCTCCTCTTCTTTACTCATGTGTATATAGTTCTTGTAGTAGCTTCTGGCCAGTGCCGCCGATCCGAGGCGCTCCCGATGCTGATGGGAATAGATGACCGTGTATGCTGAAGATACGGCCCACGTTCGAGACATTCTCATAAGATGAACATTTGGAAATCGGTTGCGAAACCTTTGGATCTTCGAAAATGACACCCGTCCCCGAGCACTGCATGGCGCCGGGAACGGCGTCCCACCCCCCTTGCAGAGCGAACCCTCCCCCCCCGGCACCCGAGCTCTGAATGGCGTCGGAACTGGCGTCGGGAATGGCGTCCCCCCCCCCCCTCCCCCCTTGCAGAGCGAACCCCCCCCGTGGCTCCCGAGCACTGAATGGCGTCGGGAATGGCGTCCCCCCCCCCCGTACAGAGCGAACCCCCCCGGGTTCCTGAGCACTGAATGGTGTCGGGAATGGTTCCCCCCCCCCCCCCCCCGCTTCCTTTTGCAGAGCGAATCGCCTCATCCCCCCACGGTTCCCGAGCACTGACTGGCGTCGGGAATGGCGTCCCACCCCCCCACCACCCCTTGCAGAGCGACCCCCCCCCCCGGCTCCCGAGCACTTAATGGCGTCGGGAATGGCGTCCCCCCCCCGTGCAGAGCTTGAGCTACCCCCACGGCTCCCGAGCACTGAATGGCGTCGGGAATGGCGTCCCCCCCCCAACCTTGCAGAGCGAACCTTCCCCAGCTCCCGAGCACTGAATGGCGTCGGGAATGGCGCCCCCCCCCCTTCCCTTGCAGAGCAAAGCTCGAGCGAGCTCAAGTCCACGCTCTCAGAAACTCACAACAGACTGGCGGGATCCTTGTCCTCCTCCCCCTCCTCATCATCATCCCCCTCCTGAGGGTAGTAGCGAGGGGCTGGGATCCAGCGCGAGAGAAGAATAAGAAGATTTGCGCTGCCCCGCCGCCCTCAGCCCGAGGTTGCTCTGCCCCGCTGAAAGAGGATTAGAGGATGAGGAGGAGCGACGGAGAGCGGGGATCAGATGAGGGGGAGGACGGAACAATAAAAAGGTGGAAAACATCGCAGCCAAGGCAATTGGTATGATCACAGGAGGGATGCGACCATACACATGTACATATATATATATAGAGAGAGAGAGAGAGAGAGAAAGAGAGAGAGAGAGAGAGAGAGCGCCCCGCGTCACCTCACTCCCGCTGTCCCCTCCTCCCCGTCCTCTTGCCGCTGCTGTCCGCATGCCCACTTGCGCACATCCCTCTCACGCTCCGTGGCCCCAGAGGGGCCTCCACCGAAGGTCCCAATGGCAGGGCCCGCGTGCGGTGCTCGCCCCCTTTGGGCACACCCCTCACACGCTTCGTGGCCGCATCAAGACCACGAAGGCCTCAGCGGCAGGGTCCGCATGCGGCACCCGCCCGATACTGGCACACCCCTCGCACGTCTCGTGGCCCCCCTTAGGGACCTCCCCACCTAGGCCCCCCAGTAGGTGCGTCCACGTGCGGCCCCCCGCCCAATGTCGACGGCACGCCCGTCACGCGCTTCGTGGCACCACAAGGAGATCCCCTCCTTCGTCCCATTTGCCCTGTGGCACTCACGCTTGCATATTGTAGGGTCCTTCGCCAGTTGTTTCAATGTGTTGTTTGGCACAGGACGCCTGCCAGCAGCTGCGTACCGCCGAGAGCGTTCAGGGGTATCCGAATCGTCCTGAACGGTCGGCGGAGGCCCGAGTTATGGTCTGAACTCCTCCCTTCTCCTCCGCCTGCCCTCCTGCTCCTCCTCCTCACCAAGATGAATAGACAATCTCAAGGCAACGCAGCAGAAGTCTGCGCACTCGTTGTTTTATCAGCGCACGGGCACTCGTTCAGAAGATACCGGTTTCGTGCCAACGGCTGCGGTGAATGGACAAACGAGGAAGCATGCACGAGCGGAGACAGGAGGCACAAAAGAAGGAAAAAAGGAGCGGGACGACACGCATGCTACACCATGCGGCGATGCAACACTCATTCGCATCCCTCCCTGCTTGCACTGATCGCTGTAAGGACCAATCGCTGGAAGGACGTTCCGGCCGGGCTCCGCCGGAACGTGCTGAAAAGAGTCTGTGGGAGTGTTTTTACTTTTGTGTGTGTGTGTGTGTTTTGTCTGTGTGTGTGTGTGTGTTTTGTCTGTGTGTGTTTTTCCCACAGCCTCCTCCTCCTCCTCCTCTTCCTCCTCCTCCTCTTCCCCCTCCTCCTCCAGGTGCCGTTTGGGGCTCCCACGCGCGCGGGGGCGCGCGGCGGGGGGCCTGCCATTCGGCCCCAGTCGCCAGCTGCCCGCGGCGAGGCGGGCGCTGGTGCACGCGGCATCGCTGGGTGCCGTCGGCGTGGCCAAGGGCGGCGGGGCCCTGCAGGACGGCTGCGCGCGGCTCGCGCACCCCGCCCCCTGCCTGGCACTGGCGACTGCGGCGGCGGCGCGCCTCTGGCCGTGCGGTCCTGCGCGAGGCGCAGGCCCGCAGGGTCCGTGCAGGCCATCACGGCGACGCCCGCGCCTGAGGCCCCGTGGAGCTCGCGGCAGCCCCCCAGTGGGGCCACCTGGGCATGCGTGGCCACCCGTGCGTGCGGCTACTCGACGACCTACGCCAGTCGTGCGACGTGCTGGGCGTGCGGCAGGGACGGAGCGGGCAGGCCAACGGCCGAAGGCGGAGCCCGCTCACAGCCCCGCACGCGTTCCAAGCCGCGCCCACGCTCTGCTGGCCGTCTTCCTGCTGCTGTTCGCGACGGGTGCAGACGACCCGATGGACGGAGGCGGAGGAGGCACCCCAGAGGCGCATGATGTGGCCAAGTGCAGGCGTGCCCTCAAGACCTTGCGCAGCATCCACGACGACAAGCACGCCTTGGTGGTCGCCGCTCGGGAGGAGCTCGCGGCCGCTGAGGCCGCGGAGCGCGCCAAGATGCCCCCCGAGGATGTCCTCCGCTCGGCCCTCGACAGACAGGCCACCCGGGAGACGGAGCGGGCGAAACTACAGGAAGAAGTGGACGGTCTCACCTCCCAGCTGGCGGCCGTCACGGAGAAGCTCGACGTCGTCAAGCATCAGCTGGTGGAGTCCGAGGCGGAGGTGGCCCAGGCCAGGCTGGCCAATGCCACCGCGCCCCTCCCAGCGGGTGCCGCCTCGTCTGTGGCAGCGCTCCAGCAGCTCCTACAAGGAGCCCACTCGTCCATCCTCCAGGGACAGGAAAGGAACGCCGTTGGCGGCGCCATCCTGGACCAGCTGGTCAGCCACGTTCGAGCGTTGGGCGGCGCCCTGCCAGCGGCAGCGGCTCCTGGGGAACAGGCAGGTGCTGCTTTTCGTCCCGCGGGCGGGCAGCCCGCTGGCGCCAGCGCCCCTCGGCCCACGGCAGCGGCAGCCCCTGTCAGCCCACCGGCGCCTCATCAGCAAGCCGTCGCCGAAGGCGGACCTGAAGCCCAGTGGGAATACGCAGGGGCTGCCTAGGCGTGGCAGAAGGCGCGCAGCCAGGCGCGCCATGGGCATCGTCACGTTCAACGGCTCATGCTGGGCCACGCTGAGAACTTTATTGCTCGAAGGCGCCCAAGACGCGCTCATTGTCTCAGCGCAGGAACTTCGGCTCGACGGTGAATCTCCGGCTCGTGCTCGGGCCTGGGCTACGCGGAATGGGCGGCAGTCATTCATCAGCCCGTGCCGACGTTTGGAGAGCAGCCTCCCAGGCGCAGGAGTTGGGATCTTTGTCAGAGCGCATGTGCACACCACTCTCTGGAGTGGAGCTGGGGGCGCAGCTGGCAGTTTTGAGATCCTTCGCTCGTGGGCTGTGGCTGTGCACATACATGCGGGTTTGCGAGTCGGTTTCATCATTGGATCGGCGTGCGTGGAGTCAGTTCCCGAGGCGGACTACCTGACTGCCAACTATCAGAAGCTGATGCGCATAGCCGAGGCCATGCGATACTACTCTTTGCCATTTGTCTTCGCTGGTGATTGGAACGCGCAGCCGCAGGACCTTGAGGGCCTTGGCATTCTCCAGATCATGCCAGCAGCGGTCGTGACACCTGAGTCGGGCACCTGCCGTGCAGCCACACATGGCACGTATCGGAGGCTGGACTATTGGCTCACCACCCTTGGTTTTGTCAAGGCATGCGGACTGCCCCGAGTTCTTGATCATTGGACGGCTCGGCCGCGCTTTCCCCTGATATGCGAGTTCGCTGCCAAGCCCCGTGCACAATGTCAGCTTCATCTTCAGGCCCCACTGCCTTTTCCCAAGTAAGGCCCTCGGCACGCAGGCGCGTCACCCCTACGGGGAGCACCGCCCATCCAGCCCCACTTGGATGTCGTCCGACATGATGCAGCTCGAGGGTTACCTGCTTGCCCTGGGCAAGCCAGACAGCGCTTGGGCGACTTCTACTCCAGCTTCATGGGTTTTGTGGAGAATGACATGTGCCACATCTACGACTTGCAGGACGCCGCTGCCTACTCTGGAAGAGGACAGCCACCTCGATATGTTTGGCGACCTGTCGCCCCCCCCCCCCCCCCCCTCGTCGTGGGTATCCTGCCGCGGGATCTGAAGCGAAGTACTTGCGCGACCTGGCCTTCGCTCTTTCCGACATCGCGAATGCATTCAAGAAGGGCCAGGGTGACTCAAGGAGGTGGCAGCCCCTTGTTCGAGCCCTTCGGCCAGGACATCGCCAGGAAATCCACGCTCCTGAGGGGCCCCAGTTGCGCGAGCGGACATGGCCAGTGGTGCGCTTTGCTGTTCAGCGGGAACGCCCCTCCTGCCTCATCATTTTGCAGGCCTACCAGCTCGTGGTCGAGGCGCGCGCCCAGTCCATGGAGCATCGCATCGCCTCGCAGCGCGTCCGCAGCTTCCACAAGTGGGCCCGAGACTCCCTGGTAACTGGCGCCGCCCCCCTCTTTGGCATTGCCGAGCTGAAGGGCCGGGCGCATAACGAGGTGGACTCCTTCGGCATTCGCGCATCCCTCCCGCAGGCTGTCGCTGACAACCTGGGGGGATATCTGGAATGCGGATCGGGTCTCGGCGTCAGCTGCGAAGGAGCAAGTATTTGGAGATGCCGAGCTGGCCCTGGGCGTGGAGGAGACCAATGAGTACGATGTGGACCATCTTATTGATTCCGAGGGCAGCCTCTCGCAACTCATCAGTGCTTTGCCGACGGAGAATCTTCCCGCCCCATCTGTGGAGGAGGTGCGGAGAGCCTCCAGGTCTTTCAGCTGGCGCACTTGACTAGCTGCGGATGCAATGCCGCCTCGGGCATGCTCGCTCCTCACCGACGAAGCTTTGGCTATGATGGTTTACATTATTTGGGCAGCGGAGCGGTGGGGAAGATGGCCCAACCCCACTCTGGTGATACACGTAATGTTGCTGGCAAAGGCCACAGGAGGCTTCAGGCTTATCCTGCTCCTGTCGTCTCTCTACAGAGTCTACGCCAAGGTTAGAATCGTTCGCGTGAGGGGGCGGGCTGCCGCCCACACCCGCCCCTATTTCGCATGGGGAGCGGGTTGCTCTACAATTGACGTGGGTGCGCGCACCGTGGTCTACGCAGCGGCGGCGGACCAGATGAAAGGCGACCAGATCATCGCGGCCACGGTGGACATCAGCAAGTGCTTCGGCCGCGTGCGCTGGGACAAGATTGTGGAGGCGGCCAAGCACTTTGGCTTCCCGCTGGGCCTCCTCAAGGTGGTGTTGGTCATGTATGCAGCCCCTCGTCGCATCCGCTGGGGGGCCACCTACTCCTTCGCGGTGCGCGCCATGCAAGGAGTCCTCCCAGGGTGCTCCGTCGCAATGTTTCTTTTGCAACTGGTAATGGTCAGGCCGTTTGACGCGTGCCAGGCGCCCATTGGCAGCACCCCCCACACCCTCGACATGTACGCGGACGACATCACCTTGCAGATTATGATGCCCACGCAGGATACCATCGTGCATGCAATTGCGGCCATGGGCCGCCTCGCGGTGGTTTTGTGCTGTTAACAAGTTGAGCACCCTAGGCTTGGAGCGTCGGGCGGGGGCGCGCCTCATGTACACAGGTTCACAAGCGCATGCGGAAGATGAAGGTCAGGATGCCCCGATTCAGGTTGCTTCGTGGCTTGGCCAAGATATCGCGTCGGGTGGCTCGATCATGCATTGCGCCAGGCATGACATACGGTATCCAGGTCGTCGGGGCCCCACCAGCTACCGTGCGCAGCATGACTCGATTGATTCGTACAGGATGGAGCAAGACTCCCACGGCCTCTTCCGCCTGGTTGGCCTCTCTTCTGGAAGCGGCCCCACACCAGCAGCCAGAGGTCATGGCCATCGTTGAACCCATCTACACCTGGGCGCAGATGGCCTTTGGTCGAAGGATTCCAGGAGAAGTCCTTCAGCGAGCTCGGCGCCTTCAATGTGCCCGCATGCAGTCAACATCGGCGTCGTGGTCGGCGGTCGCAGGCCCTGCAGGCGCCGTTCTGATGGCTCTACGTCGACTAGGGTGGAGGCCTCACTTTCACTTTCACGGAGAGACAGGCAATGGCATTCACATCAACTTGGAGGACATGGCTCCTAATTGCATACGCGCTGTGGCAAGGCGCAGCTCCAGATCAGTTCAGCGGGAGGAATGGGCGCGCCGAAAGCCCCCATGCTACGTGGCACCCTGAGCCCCCGCGTGATCCCAGAGGTTACTGGATAGAGCCCATCGCAGCTATGATGACTACGCCAGTGGAAGCGGCTACATGGAACCTCTCCCCACAGGCGCGTGGGGCTCTACGTTCAAAGGCCATTGGGGCTCAGTGGTCGCAGTTGCGCCTCCACAAGATGGGGTATTGCGAATCTTCGTTGTGCCAAAGGTGTGGACAAGTGGGATATCTTCACCATCCTTTCTGGACATGCCCACATTCCCAGGAGGTCCGCAGCCGCGCAGCGGACGAGGAGCTGCGAGCCATGGCCGCTCAGTCTGACGTTGCGGATTTGTTCCTCACGCGGGCTTCGTTGCCCAGGGCCATGCTACCCGTCATCCCGCCTCCAGTCGACACCCAGAGATGGTGGTATTGCATGGGAGGCCAGACAATGGACATCACGGGGGTGGTCTATACTGACGGCTCGGCGCGGGGCCCGCTCTACTGGCCAGAAGCGAATCGTGCAGGTTGGGGAATTGCCATCCTCAGCGGACGCCGCCTCAGAGGCATGGCCTTTGGGCCGCTTCCAGGCCCCATGCAGACCGCACAGCGAGGTGAACTATTTGCGGCACTGCAGGTACTGCGATACGGACGGCTCCCGCTGCACATCAAAACGGATTGCTTGGGTTTGGTCGACTCTCTAGCCTGTGGTGAAACAGCACTGCACCCATGCTAGCAAGGACAGGTCTGATATGGCACGCCGTCAGAGACCATGGAGGACTATCGGACCAGCTGCAGGTCACATGGATCGAGGGCCATCAGACCCTCACGGCAGCCGGAGACAGCATCGACAAGGTCGGGGACGATTTCGCGGACGTCGCCGCGAAGAAGGGCATGGCGCTGCACCAGCTTCCCACGGACACCCATGAGGAGCACGCCAGGCTGCTCAAGGCCGTGCGGCAGGTGGGCGCGTGGATGGGCAGCCTGCAGGCGTCGCCAGACCAGCTGGCAGACCGCGTCGCGGTGGTCGGCCGCCGCCCTCGCCGAGCGCCGCAGGGCCGAGACGGCGGAGACGGGGCACCCGCAGGAGCCAGGCGCCAGCGGGCGCTGCGGGGCCAGTCAGCGGTGAGGGGTGACAAGCTCCATGATCCTATCCTGTCAGCCTCAGGGTGGCGGTGCCGCCATTGTCCCAGGTTCGCCCGCAACGCCAGGGGCCCCATGAGGCTCCAGAGGGAGATTTGCCCCGTGAGGGCTTTTCTGACCCACCCAGCCACCGCTTCCCAGCGGAAACGGCAGCTGGGAGACCTGGGGGACTCGCTTGAGGCCTCCAGGGCCAAACGACCTCGTGGCGAGGCCCAGGATGGCCATCAGCCGCGGGGAGACGCCCCCCCCCCCCCCAGGACGTGAGTGACGTTTCGCGCGGTACCAACCGTCGACGTCGCTTGGAGGGCGACGAAGGGGATGTGTGTCACAGAGGAGTGCGGCCTCGGGTAGACTCTGCCCCCCCCCCCCCCCCTTCCTACGAGCCCTCCCCCTCCTCCTGGAGCTTCTGCTGAGTTAGGGGAGCGCCGTCCTGGCCAGGAAGTTGGACCCAGAGGTTTGAGGCCTGTCACCCCTCCCCCCAGGGAGTCCCGCCGCTCCCTTCGTTTCGACCTCCCTCGGGCCCCCCTGCTCCCTCGTCCTCCTCCGCTCTCGTGCCGCCGCCGCCCGAGCCTCCAGTGCGCGTTCCGAGGGTCACTTTCGCGCAGGACCTCGAGAGGCCCGATCGGCCTCAGGAGGCCGTGAGAGCGGCGGCGCGTATGGTGGAGTCTCGTGGCGCGAAGCGCAGTAGCAAAGGGCCCCCCCCCCCTCTAGGGCGGGAGCCACCGTCCCTGTTGCTCCCCTCCCGCGCTCTGGAGAGGTCCCCCCCGAGAGCGCGAGAGGGCACGTCTCTACATCTCTGGGGATTTGGTGGGGTGTAGCCAATGTGGGTCTTTCTCGGCAAGGGCGGCGCGCACCCAGCTGTTCTGGGAATGTGACCCCGAGGCCGCCCTCTCTGGCGCCCCCCAGCGGAAATGGCGGAGGGACAACTTTATGAAGGGCGTCCACCCCAAATGGAAGACGGCCCTTCCCCTCCCCACTCCACGCAGGCTGGAGGTCACTGATGACGCTGTCCAGTGGCTCGGCCTACTTTCCGTATCCTGAGCCCGAGACGGGCTCCTTCATATTTATGGCGTGAACTCCTCGCGCCTTTCATTTCTGGGTGCCTGGCGCTGTTTGTCGGCCCTGGGCTTTCCCTTCTTCGGGTCCGCTCGGCGTGGCCGTGAGGCTTCGGCTGGGCCGTGGGCGCCCTGGGGCCCGAAACCGTTTCGTGTTCGATTGCGCGTCTCGACTTTTCCATGCTGCCTTCGCCTCTCTCGAATCTGCACTCGGCGCGTCGCCTCATGGGCTCGCGACTCCTCCTCCTCCTCCTCCTCCTCCTCCTCCT